CCCGTTGAAGAGAGATCCACGCTGTGGGCAATTGGTCGGAACTGGCTCCGGGGCAGGCTTCGTACTCCGCAGAGTCCCTCACCAAACGTGGCACCCACCAAAACCCGACCAGCGATGAAGTTCATGCTCCCTACACACCCTGTCGCCATACCAGCATGGCTGGGGTCGCCAAAAGGGCCGTTTTCCTTCAAATTTTCCGTTGGTCCCAAGTGCCCGGCAACGAAAGCCTTGTCTGCAAGGTTCCTGGACGTTGAAATTCGCTCCAATCTGATCACCTTGAGTCGGCGTCTGCCGCTGGTCGTGGGATCGCAAGCCACGAAAGGTGGGCACAAAGGATCACGGCTTCATCCGCCAGCCCAGCATGCGGAATTATGGACGGAGGCGCGTTACACATGGCTTGGTGGAGCTAGCCGAAGTGGTGGCAGGTCCTCACCGTTGGGTTGGGTTGGGCTTTGACAAGGTGTAACCTCATCAGACCTCGGGATACCGTTTGACCGGCCAGCAAGGGCACCACCCTCTTTGCCACAAATGTCACATGATTGACCTCAAATGCAACGGGACTTGCACGCATGAGTACGCGAGCATCGTTGGGCGTCATCTGCTCGCGAACGATGAATCGGAAAGCAACACCTATTGCGACCATTTGTCTGGAGGACACCGAGGCGGCCATCAAGACGAGAGGCTTTACAGCCACCGGCTCACGTTTAACAGCAACTGGTCTGCCGAAAAGGGGGCGGAAGCATGAGCTTCTTAATGATGGATGACCGGTTCCTCGGTATCCAACCGAGGAGGGTCACAATTTTACCCCTGTTTCATCGCATATTTCCCCCAGCAGACCCGAGCCGGCGAATGGGCTAATGCAGGAACGGTGGTGCCAACAGTTTTGATTACCTTGCTTTGAGCGGTACGGAAACAACAGGGCAGTACGTACCGCACTTGTCTGGACACGTGTACCATGACATTGCCCTGCCGCGGCAGGTTCCTCCACCTATGGCAAACCGTCATCCTACGTATGGATATGGGTGCTGTAGGAACTCGTCAAGTCGCAACTTGCTTTACCAGGCCTGTTTCTCAGCAAACGCTGATTTATCTCAGACCACACCCGGCGGGCCATCAACCTTTTGCTCTCGGCCGCAAGGTATCCTCCCCCGAGAACCAGCTGCCCGGATATCTATTCTCCAGGCCATCGACAGGGCGTCTTGGATACCAGCACCAACCAGCCTCCAACAGACCGGGCCACGATCCCGCGAGGATCCTTGAAACACACAGTGCAATCAGCATTCCCGGGGAGAGGACAACACGGTGCGAAGTACCATAGTACATATTACCGAGTGGACTTGCTAGGTGGAGGAGGCACTTCTTACCCACCCTTTTACCAGGGGGTTCTCAACCCCAACGGCGGGTTTCCTGTACTGAGCCAGTTCCCGAAGGGGCGAGGGCTACTGCAGGGCTTCCAAGCCTACTTTACCTTATGCTTCCATGCTTCCACAGCTTCTGGAAGGCTTCGATGCAGCAGAAGTTCACTGTAAGGACAGTGCTCAGGTCCCTGTCACCGAGCCCTAGGGGCGAACAAAGGTCCCTGAACAGGTCGTCAGACAGGGAAGCCTTGGCCGCGCGACATGGAAGGGGCCGAGGGGTATGCGAACAAACGACCGCAGCGCAATGACAGCTACGAATACATTGCGATAGAGAAAGGCGACGTCTGCAGGGTTCCAGATTGATTGATGGGAAAGTTGTCTCGTCCGCCGATTTGGAGCAATGGGGACACAACGCTACGCGAGATGGCTACCGAGACGAGAGACAACAAAGGCGACGGACGTTGTCGTACCTTGCCTCCCGTGGAAACATGGTTGTTTGCGGCTGCTGTTCGTTCCCCAGCAAGCCAAGCCCGTCTTGAACGAGAGGTTTGCTCACCTGTCATTTTTGGAATGCTGACAATGATAGAGGTGATGATTGATCGTGTAGGCCACCATCTACCAAACGATTCACTTGGCATGAGAGACTGCAGTTACCGTACAAAATACTCTGCCCGGTAACTGGGAACCCTGCCGCTGCCGCTGCCTTGCCCTCTCCCTAAATCATCATTTGAGACAGGGAGATTGTTGGTTTGCATGCACAATCGCCGCGAATTCGACATGAGATGAGAAACGTGTTTCCAGCGACAAAGCTTCTCATCACTGTGGCCAATCCATGTCACAGCCACGGATTCATCACCGCATCAGTTTCGGTTATACTAAAGGCAACGTATTATCACGGCGCCCAAGCGAAATCTTCCCAAGAAAGGCGCAGTCAAAAAGCAATCAGCGATAGGAAACGGATCTGTGCTTTGCAATAGTGAAGTCGCCAAGTACTCACAAAATCGGCGTTTCTGCAAATCACCAGACTGGTGTGCCACCTCGATGACATTGGCTGCGCGAGCGGACGGGAGCGATCCGCTCGCTCCATGCAACCACTGAAGCCCGTCGCCTGCTTGTCTCCTTTGGGCGAGCGGTCAGTGTTTGGTCGCTTGCCAGCAAGTCTGTTACATGCCGTATTGAGAACAGAGGCCGTGGCGATCGTTGTTAGATGAAACAGTCTTACCGCGGACTGATCTTCGTCTGAGGGGCTTCACGGTGGGAGAGGCTAGTGAGAAATCCGCCGCGGATCTTCCTGACGCGATGCTCACCTACTACTCGGAGGTGACAGACACGGAAGGTCGCTGGCCTAAAGGCCTTTTACCCACCTAACCACCGTATCACCGAGCGATCGCCTCCATCAAGAGAGGACATTGGGAGTTCTTGTTTTTGCCTCGGAAGCATGCTCAAGGATGCACCGTTAAAAGATCGCCACCAAGTCCCCCTGCTCATCCCGTCTTGCACCCTATGTCCCTGAGAAATCAGAATTGCCTCACTCCCAAAGAGATACTGACAATCGGAATCATCGACTGAGTTTCACAGACTAGACAAGCCGAGCCCGAAGAGTTCAGACGATGTGCCCAATCAACTGACGCCTTTGTGCCTACTTTGCGCATCGGCTGACAGGGAGGCCGATTACCTTGTCTAATGCTCTCTTTCTCACTATCAATCGCACAGGAGCTGTCGGTTCTCCGGATACTAGAGATTTGCGGATATGAGAACTGACGCAAATCCTCGCATCGCTTTGTGGCAGAAGCTCATTCTTCCATCTCTAAACCGGCCGGCACCGGAACGGAAAACCCGTCACCTATCTAGTCAGAAGAGACAAGAAGGTACACGTTAGGACGGGCGGACCGTCAGGTTTCTGACGATTCAGTAAGTTGATCAATGTCTTGGCTAAGCGGATCTTGGACCGCATGCCAGTTGCCATCCGTTGATATGTTGGTGCACAGCTGCGTACCGTCCAAGAAACATTGGCAAAGTCCCATATTGCCCGTGTACCTCTGACCGAGTGTCGCCCGTTCAGCCGTCGTTCCGCGGCCGTTGGGAAAACTTTGGAGGATTCCGAGCGGCCGTCAATAATTCCTTTTGGATCGCGAGATATTGAGTTCGTGTTTCGCGATGATGACGACACATGGTTAAACTTTTCTGGAACCTGCAGGTTCAACATTACACTGCAGCGTGGTCGACAGTCGATTCACTGTCAGCGGTTGTCTTGTCCCCGGTCCCGAGTGTGCCACGGCGCGCAGAACCTCCCTATTCTGTGGTAGAACGAGGTTTCCAGGTTGCGTGAATTTGACAGAGCCATTGATCTGATTCCCGCCAGCAAACTGGCCAAAGGGGACGCGAAAGATCGGCTCTGGGAGGGTGCAAAATGCAAAAACGTGGGTCTAACACACAGGATGGTGTTGTAAGCACCGACCCAGGACGGGAACGAATTATCAGATGCTGTGGCTCATCGCGAGGCACGACGGATAGGTCGCACACTAGCCTCGAAAATGAACTGGGAAATGGCTGGTTGCATGCCATGGATTGGTTATTGACGGAACACGCTGGATCTAGCCGCCTCTCAAGGTGTTTCGTCCGACGGGACAATCCCAAGGCTCAAACAACAGAGGCCAGTTCCGCGGCCTGTCCTCGTGTCCGGCGTAATAGCACCAATTCCGCATATAAGAAGCAAATGAACACTTTGCAGACGACAACAATTATGATGAATCAGCCGACGGAAGAGGCGCGGATCGAAGCGAATATACGGATGAAATTTTGGTCACGCCTTTTTCCTTGCCCGACAAGCTGTCCCCGAATGACAGCTGGGAAGAAATTTTTGAAGCGAAGCAATGGGAACTAGCAAGCGGAAGAAGCAAAAGGAGCAGCTAGGATGTTTAATGTCGAGTGCTTGGATATGACGGTGCTCACCGAGAGGGCACGGGCTCAGCGACGCGAGGAGGCGTGACGATGGGCAACGGATCGCTGTTACCATTCCCCTCCCGAAATGAGGAGCACGGCAGGGAGAAGTGTGACACGCCCGGGTCGTCGTCGCCGGCCGGCCGCCCAAGCTGCTCGAGGAACCAAGGGATGGAATGTACGAGGCAGTAGGATTGACGCTCAGCATCTTGAGTCGGACAGTCACACATGGACAATAGCAGCATATGGGTGCTGTCAGGCTGGGCCTGGCCATGGCTGTCCGACGAAGGCATCACAGGGAACGCGACACACAAAGTTGTAATCACCGAGAACCATCGGCATGGATGCCTCCGTATAATGCGACCCTTCGTTCACATTGCTGCTTCGGTTTGGCCCGCAGCTAGAGCCCACACCCGCCCGAGTCGTGAGAGTCAGACGGGACGTGCAGCCCTCATCAGAATGCAAAGATGGGAGAGCCTTGCAACAATAAGCAAGAATGGGCGGAAGAAGAGACGAGAAAGCGAAAGAGAGGGTGTGCAGCAAGTTTGGCAAGCGAGCAAGTTTTTCCCCCTTCTCTCTTCGCGTGTGAAGGGATATCGGGAACCAAGCTTGCAAAAGCATCCAGACTCTCTATTCTTTTCCCTTTTCCTCCTGAAAGCGATTTCCCCCTCCAACTAACACGACATGACGCATGGCTAGTAGCTATTTTTGTTTACCGCAGCACCGGCTCCGATGAATGCTGTGCACACACACACACACATACACAGCCAAGCTGAGCTGAGCTGAAGTGAGCCGTGAGGGCGAAGCTAATTAAAGGATGCGACTGACTAAACAGAAAGTCTTTGGCAAAGCATGCGACAGCAGCGTTTTGAATCGGGTTGCAGCGAAAACTTGCGCTAAGGATCGCGGCAGAATGACAGGTCGGCAGCAGGTAGAACAAGGGTTCTCTCCAGGCGCTACGTTTGAGTAAAGGCTCTGGAGGTGGAAGTAGAAGCCTGGGAGAGGTGAAGTGCGGGAGAGAGGCATGGAGGGAGGGACACATACGAATATCGGTACATACACACGCACACACACACACACAGCAATCAGCAGCATGGCAACGTGGATTGGAAGCAACGTCGAGGCTCGTCCGCCAGTCGTCCGTCACCATTCATGTATGCGTGGATGGGTGGACGGATGGATGAATTGGTCGGATAGAGTGCACCCCTGGAGGCCAATGACCCCTGCTCTCCGTGGTATCTCAGGAAGACCCTGGTAGGGGCGACAACCGTCAGTGCAGATGCGCAGCAGGAGACAAGCAGAAGGGCAAGCCGCAAGCTGCTAGCAAAGATGGAGACGGGGACGAAAACCAAGTGTTCCGGTGAGCCTAAGGTGAGGGCGGACGGAGCGATACGTACCGGCAGAAGGAACCTCGGCGTTGACGTTCCATGCACCTAGCGGTGGATACCTGACCTCACTGCCGTCCAATACGGGGCACCAGGCTCAAGGTAAGTATCTTTCTCTGCTGCGTAGTGCGTACTCCGTACTCTCTCCCTTTCCCCATCTTCGATTTCGGCGGTCCTTCTTGTGGGATAGAAGTTACCTTGGTTGCTGGTCAGTGGTCTGGCTGCCCCAAGCGGATGGATGTGATTCACTTCCATTGCGGATGCTCTTGTGGTCAGGATGCCTCATAGGCTGATACTTTGCGTACATATGGAGTAGACACAGTGTATCCGTACCGGCGATGCGGTGCAGGTGCCCTGTTACATGAGGAGCCCTGTAGGACGTACTCTTTCTCATGCTTCCATGAGTGGACCAGCCCAATGTACCGGGAAGCAGTCATCGCAGACCCTTTTGCATTGGCGCATTGTCTTTTTTCTCTCTTTTCTTCTTGTTGTTGTTTTTCTCTTTCTCGGGTTCCTTTTCGTACCATCTCTTTCCTTTCCAAGGCCGCGATTTTGGCCGCTTCGCCATTGAATTTTCTCCCCGGGTCGCGCCAGTTGTGCAGACATGAACCATGTTGGTTGGGCCTCAACAGTAAAGTGCTGGCAGAAAACCAGCTGGCGCAAAGTAGGATCAGCAGCTAATACTAGGTACGGGATAGGTGGACTGGGGACAAGCGGCGAGACGAGTAGGTAGTGGACAGACAGACAGACAGGCACTTGGACCTGAAAATAGGACACGGAAAAGTATGGTGAGGTAAGTAAGGTAAGGTAAGCACGATACAAGTTGCTTCACCTCGCCGCCTCACGTTGGTCGGGCTAGGGCATTTCATCATTTCAGTCACTCTCTCCCTGAAAGGCAAAAGGAGACCGAATGCGCTGAGACGTTGAGACCTGACTCTTTCTCGCTCTCTCTGCTGCCACACCAAAGCTTGCGCAGTCAGGCAGTGCGCACCACCAGCGAGAAGCCACGGCACGGCTCTAGTCTCGATTGGTGCAGTTCCAGGAGCTCCCCGATAGCCTAAGGAGGAAGAAGCGGGTGTGAGGTAGCCGCTACCTACCTAACCTAACTCTACTCTGTACTTTGATCTTGTTGCGTTCCTCGCCTTCGCCTCTGGGCAACAACTAAGGTACTACGCACAATCATCGAACCCAGGAACAGGCGGAATTGTTCAGCTGTCTAGGTATCTCGATCTCTTGCTCTCCCTCGTTCTTTGCATGCTATGTACGGATATATCCAGGGGCAGTCAAGATCATCCATACGTACCTGATTATCGGCATGGAGCAAGGATACCCGTTTGGCTTGCCTGAAGTGTGTTGTGTTCACTTTGCTCATCCTCTGAGAGCAGCAAATAGATACCTTGGCCGGGTACGCAGTAAGGCAAGGTGCCAGGCACAGAACGGGCTACGTACGGGTAGCTAAAGTTGGGTACGCACTATCTACAGGTATGCAACATTGCAGAGGACCAGCTAAGGTACCTTGCTTCGTACCCAAAACGCCTCTTCACTTTTTGGGGCCCGGTACGGAGTACGGGTACCTGGCATAGGCATGGCATGGCATGGCGTGGCGTGGCATGGGACGGGGCATCTTGCAAGGAAGGCCAGGGCCTGGCGTGGCTTTCATGGCTGGCTAATGCCACACTCCCCCCCCTAGTCCTGCTTTCTCTCCATCCATGATCTCTTTCCCTTCCCCCCCCCCCTGGACAACATGAAGGGGAGGACCTGGGGCCTGGGGTCTACCGTCTGGGTACCACGGTACCTTGCTTAGGACCTAGCCGTCTCGCCCAGGGGGGGAGGGTGCGGTTTCCAGCTTGGAGGATGAGCAGCGGCAGCAACCAAAGATGCTGGTCCCATCCATCCCTTCCCTTGGTTCCCTTTTTTTTGCCCTTTAATTTTTGGGTGGAAACTGGAAAGAGAAGGAAAAAAAGGAACCACCAAACCTGAGGAACATTACCTACCAGAACCAGACCAGACCTGTCCTGGACCTGACCAGACAGCCCCGAAGGGAAAAAAAAGGTACCTACCTCTTCCTGGCCCTACCTCACCTTGCAAGTCGCCTTACATGGTTCCAGTCCAGCGCCAGTAGCCCATGAACCCTCCCCCCCCCTTCCCTGCGCTCCCGCCCTGACATTACATTACCTACTTTACATTGCGAACGAGAAAAAATTTCCCATTCTCGCTCGGGGCGTCTGGAATAAGATAGAGAGAGAGTGTGTGTGTGAGAGTGAGAGACCTTCTTAATCACCTCCCTCCCATCCGTCATCTCCTGTTTCCATTCTTCTGAGTTCCTATCCTCACTTACCATCCTCCTTCTTATTCCCATCCTCTCCCCCCTCTCCTCAACGGCGCATCGCTCTGGTCTCTCTACATCTCTCACATTCGACATCCAGTCTTCTACATCTTTCTGCGCTACTTGCCAGCATCCACTAGCTTTACCACCACGCACAAGCATCAAACCAGCAGCAGCACCAGCTCTCACCGCGCGCTCCATCACACACAATAGACGCGCCCCCCTTTTCTCCTGCACGCTCACCGCAGTCCCTGGGACCACCAACGTTGCCAACACTCCAAACAAAAGAGCAGTTCGCGCGACCCACCAGCAAAGCAGTTGTTGCCCGTTTCTCAGCTTAGTAGACTAGCGAGAGAACCTGCAGCAAGCCATCCTCGTCTCGTCTCGTCCCGTCTCGTTCCGCACCGTACAGCACCTCACCTCACCTCACCTTACACGCCTACCATACCTGGCAATACTCTCCGCGACCTGCGCTTCACAGAGAGGATCAGAACAAGGGAACCCGTTTATTCCAAGACCCCGATCCCGAACCGAATCAAATATAATATCACCAAAACACAAAAGGGAATTCCCCATTGAGAAGCGACTTTCCGAGACCTGCGCAACCAACCGTCTCGATATCCAACCAACCCCCCGACGGCACACCACACAACACGACAGAAAAGACTTGATCGTCTGCAACTGCGCAAAGCCCATCCTGCTCGAGCCATCCACATGCAACGGTGCCGATAATACACTCCCCTCGCTCCCTCCGGACCGCCTGTTTTGCCTCAGCTCCTCCTATTTTCTGCGAAACAACCGAGCAGCATTGGTGACGCCCAATTTGGCAACATACCCAGGCCTCCTTGCATCATCACCGCCTCTTTATCCCCGTCAACTCTCACCAATCCCATCTCCTGAAGACACTCGCACCCAAGTCTTCAAGGCCGCTTTCCAACACGTCGCACTACGACCTTCTAAATTGTGAGTCAGAGTTGCAGCAACGGCATCCACTAGCCAATTTTTTTACACCTTGTGCGGCATACTCCCATGTCCTACACCGGACTGCCCTGTAACCATCTTCACCGTCATGTCGCGTCTGGCTTGTATAAAGTTGACGCTCTGTCCTCGCTACCCTCGAGAGATATTTGATCGAATCATGGCTAACAAGCGATTTCAAAGAAACTCAATTCCAACCAGTTCTCGCTTTCGAAAGCACCTACAACATTCAAAATGGGTGTCAGAGAGATCACTCCCGCCTCCAACATGGGCCGCGGTGCCTACGACACGACTGGAGTGCCCAAGCCTCCTCCTCGCCCCAAGCCTCGATAAATCAGCCTCGTGCTGATTATCATGATGAGCGACACGCAATTCACGTGCCATGAGCACGATCCGACGAACGAATTCCACATCTCCACTGGTCCGCGGGCTCAGGCCAACGCGATGATTTTTCCCCACGCGAGACATCTCGAGAGGATCCAACCGCCCCCCTACTCTCTACGCTACCGCATGTCTTATTCGATCATGCACACCCAACCCACACTTATCCTCTACAACTCTACTAATACTGGCGGTCCATTTCCACCTGTACTACCTCATCTGTACAACCAAAACGTCCTGGCCGATTTTTCGCAACATTTCATCATACACCATTTAATACGCATATCTGTCCAAGACTAGAACATACCGGCTCGCAGCCACAACTTGCTTCCCAGCAGCAAGGCGAATGGGAACGCCTTACACGGTTTTCATGATGTGGCATCGATTTTATTTTGTGTGTTTGTGGGATCATTTCATCCCACCTGCACCAGGGAGAAGAAAAAAGGGCATGGCGTTACAACATAGACGGATCTGGGTTTCTTGAACTTTGGCTCCTTTTCGACGGGAATTCTTTTTTTTCTCAAAACGTTTTGTTTCCTGTCAGCTCTCACATACCTCATCTGGGCCCTCGACGTCCTACGACACGACACTCGGCGACGGCACAATATCCCCGGCGGATCCATTCCAAACTGTCGGTGAGTGCTTCGCAGGCACTTTGGTCGGGCAGCAACGCATGACAACGCAACCACCATCCTCGACGCACATGGCTCGCAGCCGCCTCAACCGTCAAATTCGAGGGTGTGAGACGACAATCTTCCTTTTACATGGGGTTTCTCGGACAAGGGCACAAAAGAAACATGCAGCTTCAAGCGCCTGTTTTCCTTTTTTTCCATCTCTATTTTCCTTTTTCATTCCTGTTTGCTTTCACCTTTTGGGCAATGCGATTCTGGGACGGGCTACAAAAAATCTGGGAACTGGACTGGGAAAAGAACTGATTCGCATATAGACTTTTGATTTTCTTTCATTTTGTTTGTACCAACTACCCCCTGTATTCTCTAGGTTTGGTCGACTTTTACGCACAACCAGCTACCTCGCGGTCCTGGTTTGAGCGAGAGCACCAAGGATATGTCAGCAACGCTTTCCTACTCTTTTCATTTTCCCTTGTCAGAACAACAAGGCGATGGCGATGACGGATTTACTACCACTACATCTTTATTATTCCCCCATTTTTTTTTCTGCTTTCTCATGGTGTGCTCGAGACCGGAGGCTCCACGGCTAGCTGATCGTCCATATGTAGGCGATGCGGGCTTGGATGGACTCTGGGATTGACAAAAGAAGATACCCCGCGGGTTTAGCCCTCTTTAGACTGCATATGTATAGTACTGCCATCTATAAGAGCCAAGATAGCTACACAGCGCCAGCGCATAGGAAAAGGAGACATCCACATTCGAAACAATGAAACATTTAAAAATCATATTACATCACCTCTCTCTTTTGTTTTGCATTGCACACCGATATTTGAGTTGAAGCCCTATCTGATCCTGCCTACCTAGGCGAGTGCCCAATCTGACGTGGAGACATTCCAGATCTAGCAGATGTGTGTGAGTGTGTGCAGGATGCATCTGAGACGGACAGGGGTGTTTGTTGGACGAGGGCATTCCTTAACCCCCCGTATGAGGGCGGCGGCGGTTGCTCTCGAAGCTCATGCTATGCTATGCTATGCCATGCCATGCGACTCGACACATTCGACTCGACTCGAGAACTTCTGTGAGATGCTCGAGTAATTCAGTTCAGTTCAGGAAGAAGAGGAGAATTCGGGATGGGCAATGGACGGCGAGACATGGCAAAAAGCAAGGTAAAGGATAGGTAGCTGAGGGTTTTCCCCAATCGCAGGGGGGCTCCCCCCCAACTTGGTGTGCCGTAAGGGGGCAAAGGGAGAGAGCTAGCCACCCACACAACGGGACGTCTATCCGGGAGGGAAGGGAGAGAGCGGTTCGGTTTTAGTCTGGTGTAGGTAGCCACGGTAGAGTATCTAGAATACCCAAAGTAGAGGATCGGATAGTGTTATAGGGGAGAGGAATGGAGAGGGGGGGGGGGGGCACACAAGATCGGGGGGCCGGGGGGTTCGGATGCGGGATGCGGATGCGGGATGCGGGAGAGGGGTTCTGGACCAAGGGGGGAATGCGACGACTCTCGCCCATCCATCCTCCCATCGTCATGCTTGGGGAAAGAATTCTCACTTTGGACCTGGACACCTCCCCCCTCGGGTGCTCGGCCAAGACGAAGGAAGGGTCTCGGTCAAGAGTTGGTGATTCGGTCACCACCGACTGGTATCATATGCCTATATGGGCGTGAGAACGAATTGGGCAAAGACGCATGAGGTAGCAGCAGCAGCAAGCAGCGGCACGACACATCACGGGGGCATGCGAACTACGACGACTTACATGATCGACGGGGGACGCGGACGCGTGCCGACGACATGTTGTGTGTACGTATGGTAGGTATGTATGTATGTATGTACGTATGCGCGTGCGTTGTGTTGTGCCTGCCGGCGACTCGAACAGGACGAGTCGAATGAGACTTTTTGAAAGCAAAGGAGCCTGCTCCGTGACGGCTACCTCTGCCATTTTCTGCCGCCACACACCTACGACAGACTGGTCTTCCTCTGGCGTGTCTGGGTACGGATACCTTGGGTACTAGTGTCCCCCCCCCCCCCTTTTCGTCTGATCAGAGACCTTTGAGGAACGCGGAACTAGTCGAGGGAGAGAGAGAGAGAGAGGAACCGGCCGGGCGCTTATGCGCTGCAGCGTCAATCGATTTAGCGGGGGGATAAACCATGGTGAGAGACAAGACGAGGACGACTTTTGATTTTCTTTGAGAGGAGGAGCAGGGGAGGCAAGGGGGTCGTGATGGTGGTGGTGGTGTGTGATTTGTTTTTGAGCAGTCGTCTTTTCGGACTATGGCGAGCTAGGCAGAGCAGAAAAGAAAAGAAGAAGAAGAAGAAAAACGGGCGGTGGTGGTGATACAGCCCACATTGCTTTTTTCTTTTTCTTGAGCTGTGTCGTAGATCGTGGTTTGCATGGCGGTGCGTTGCGGGCGTGTGCGCGTGCAGCCGGGGAAGACGGATCGAACATGGGTGTGAGATGAACAAGGTGATGATCAATCAGATAAGTTAAAAAAATTAAAAATAAAAATCCAGGTGAAGGATTCATTCCATATTCAAGGAAGCGATGAAAAGCAAGTTGGGTACTCGTACTGGGATGCGTGTGGTCTGGCGCGAAAGAGTTTGGATAAAGGGTTCGTTCGGATGGCATGGATGGTGCCGTGTACGTTTTCTGTATGGTCTGTATGGGATGTTGGCCATGTGGAAATAGTGCTGCCACTTTCTTTGCCAAGACCTTTTTGCATGTTCGGATGTGACGTTGGAGTTTTTTGATTTTCTGCTAAAATAGGATAAAAATCCTATCTTTGTGGGCTGGCTTTGTACTATGTAGCCTAGGAGACTACGACTCTCGAGTGATGCCCTGTCTTTTCTACGGAGTAGACTTTCTAGACTTTCCTCCGGTCTCACGCGGAAGATGGGTTTTACGAGCCGGGCTGCGTACGGGCCGGGGCGCGGGAGAGAGAGAGAACTGGGAATAGGAGCTTGAAGAGATTCGAGAAGAGGGGGGGGGGGGGGTGTAGTGTATGGGCAAATCAACAATGACGCTATCGTGACACTACCGTCCTCTGCGGGCATCGCTAGTTCGACATACGGATGCGACGTTGTGGAAGCACTGCCGTAGGGTTCCCCGAGATTTCGATGTGCCGGGACTGGAAGAGAGCCGCGAGAGCTGAAAAGGGTTGGGTGAGTGAGTGAATGAATGGAATGGGAATTTGTTTATTGGGCACGATGCGAAAGTGCGTGCAGTAGTAGATTGGCACTTGGGACATCCGAAAAGGAGCCCCGGTGCCCGGGTGTGTGACGGCTGATAGAGGTTGCCTGGTAGCTTGGTTGTCATCATTGTCGCAGCGCGTACGTCGTCCAACCAATATACCGGGAGTGTATTCGTAGGGAAGATACCGTATACGAGAGCATACACAACGACCCCGAGACGATGGTTCCCGGATGCGCTCAGTTCTGTAACGTTGAACTGGTCCGACGCTGTGCGATGTACGTAGTATTTACGGATACGTCTGTATTATTGGAAACACCGTACATTATTACATTATCCTGTAGTCACGCGTGGCACGGGGAGGCGACACGTTGGGACGGGTTTACTTGAGGAACAATCGCGTTTAGAGGAGGACGAACACGCGCCTTGGCTGAAGCGCTGCGCGACGACGCGCAAATGCCAAAAGTGATGGGAAGTTCCGAAACGCAGCAGCTCCGTATGATGTGGTCAACCCGTTGCGCAATCAGGCAAGGTGCTAAAATTTTGGGTTTGATGAACTAAAATTACAACAAATTGTTGGAAGATGAGATAGGGGAAATTTCAGGAACAGACACACACACTTACACCACCCTGCCGTGCCTGCCCCGGGGAACGTCAAGACCAAAGAAATGTGGAAACCCTAGAGCGAAAAGAAGAAAAAGGGGGTGGTGTGAGTTCAGGCTGTTTGGGAGCGTGTGAGAGCTGACTGCGTTTCCGTTTGTAGCTCTGTGAGGTATCGGCCGGGGGGTGTGTGTTCGCACGGCGCTAATGCAGCGGCGGCGTCCCGGGAACCAAAGCGCTGGGACCTTCTTTTTTTTTCCTCTCTTTCCCTTTTTGCTGCTGTTCGGGAGTGGCCCGCGGTGGGCCGGAGGGAGGATGAAACGGGCCTATCATTGACCGAACTCCGCGCTATGTCCCTTTTGGGCTCCTCGGTGGGGTATCCACTTTCCTTTCGGACGAAAGAAAGCTGAGCGGTCGGTGAAAAGTCCAGGTGAGAGGAAAGGGACGAACGGGCCCCACACACTCACACCTCGACTCGCAAGGTGAAGGAGCAGGAGGAGCCTACCTACCTGGGGAGGTACCTCAGCTCCGACCCGACGCGGAAAGAGAGGGTTGCAGAGAACATGCGGCTAAACTGCGCGACCTGCAGAAGGTGCTGACCTATTCCGGTAGTTGCAATGCAGGGAAGGAAGGGGGAACGTTTTGTTTCTTCTTTCTTGTGAGACACTCAAAGGGGGGCTAATTGTCGATCTCCTTTTTTGGCTTTCACATCGAACAAAATTTTCAAAATTGATCCTGTTTTGACTCGAGAATTGTCCATCTGCTGGCTTCCCCTGCATCATCAATCACCAACGAGTCAACAACCCACGTCTTGCGTACAAACGCAAGATTGACAACCCGCGTTGTTTGCGCCCCTCGAGCTACTCGAAAAGGGGGCATGGCATCACACCAGATGTCTCCATCGCGCTGGTTGGACGTTGGCTTTGCCGTCATTGTGACAACTGACGGGTCGGCGCAAACCAACAATCCTGTCATTCAAGTACCAACTGTATGTGCCAATAACGAGCCATCAAACAGCGTCCAACGGCCCAATGTCAACAACAACCAAAAGACATACACCCGCATATGCAGCAAACACGCCCATGCTGCGTCTGGTTTTCCACCAACGAGATAGTTCATCCCATTCCCCCAGTCTCTCATTGGCCATCTGCAAGGCGCGAGATTGAACCACTCACACACACACACACACCAATGACATTCGGAAGGCAAACCTCCTTTACGGATACAAAGTACACACCACCTTGTCCGTACCGGCAATTTGGGACACGAACTCGGGTTTGGTGGGCTACATTGTCACTGCTGCAGCTTTCCCCCTTCCCCGGGTTATCAAATATGGGTATCTCTACGACGTCCCGGATATGCCTCCCGGGCCAAACGGATCACTACGGTGCTACCCGTACGGCGCGCACAAAATAGCCGTTTACCAGCTGCCGAGTCATCAACAAATTCTCGTCCGCTTGCTTGTCTCCTCGACGCTTCTCGGCCGTAGCCGAAGAATGGCTGTGTTTGCGCTGTGCTGCGTTGCCGCGCATCCAGATCCGCCGTGGGTACTCCGTACGGAGTATGCGCAACTGATTTCCAATTTGAAGCGCATGGCAATTGCATAGGAAACAAGACGAGATAGTAACGACGGCGGCCCCTCATACCCAATTCCGGACATCATGGGCCACGCCTCAGCTCACCGAGCCCTCATTATCACGCGGCAGACACACCACCACCCAACTGAGTACACGCCACATCGTGAACGAAACGGCCCAGCAAGATGAGACAGCGTGAACCACCCTTCTTTGCACCCCCTCTAACCCAGGAAGGAGAAAAGAGCCTCATCCAGTGTGCCAGTTTCCCGGCTCGGTTCGGTTTGGACATCCCACGCGTGCAACATCCCACGTCTGGCTTCGGTCTACGCCTCGCGAAACGGGGGGAAAGGGGGAGGGGGCCGAGGAGGCGCAGATGGGCGGGGGGCGCATATCGATGCATGCCCTTCGGGAAATGCGACGTCTCGACCGAGTAGTCGGGTCCCCTTACGTCTCTTTCTTCTGTCTCGCCGATACTTGACTCCGCGATGTCTTTGGAGACGACTGGTTAGCGAAACCCCCACCCCGCCGCCCCCTTTGCCTTCGTCACCGAGAGGTAGGTGAGTGAGATAGGGCAGAGGTAGGTACCGTCTTGTGAAGAGGGTCAGGATATTCCGACAAGCAGAGATCATCCTTCCAACGTTTCATCCCGAATTTCTCTCCAACAACCGGTTCTGCACCGCCCAGGCCTCAAGGCTGTCCGGGACATCAACTCCCTCACCGGTGCGATATACTCCCTTCCCCGTGCCCGGCTTCCCTGCGCGTCGTCCCCAACCTCTGGAAAAATTTCTTCCCCATGCCTTCTATCCTTACAAGGGCTTGTTCTTCGAGAAGTTCCTTTTGATGGGGGCGCAAGGCGTGATGATGAGGGTCCAATTCGGTGAGTGAAAGCCCTGGCCCTGTTTGATAGACCGCCTGACCACAAAGCCTGGGACTCCTTGGGGGGGACGGGGCTCCGGGAGAAGCAGAAAATCTCACGGGGAGCCAAGACGAGTGGCAAGGTTCTGCATATCTCAAACTGCCAAATTTCCCGGGGCCGCGGTTTGGGACCTTTTTCCTGGTTTGCTCACTTCTTCCCAGGTTCAAGGAAGCCGATCAGAGAGGCTCCGCCGACAAAAGGTCCCCGCAACAAACGGACAGCCGTTGCCAAAAATCGCCATTTCTCTCGCCTCTCTTCTCTCTCCCCACCAAGCCATGCGGACACTGTAGCCGGGGCATGGCCCCCGGATCCCCGGAGGCATTATTTGAAAGGCCCCAAGGGCTGCCGACAGGGGAGGAAAATGGAAGAAGCAAAGAAGGAGGAAGAAGGTCCCTCTTTTTCCTTCTTCACTCAACACACACCCTCAAACCGTCATCGGATCCCTGACCAAGTCTTTATCCAGTGGGAAACATTGCCGTCAGTGTGCTCCGTCTCCACCGGTATCCATCTTGCATGGATCACGCATGGATACCCATGGAGGGAATGGCACGGTGACTTGGACGAACCCAACGGAGCCACGTACTGAGGTACCTACGCCGTACGGATACGCCCTGACGCCCTCCCAAGTTCCCTCCCTCCCCCCGGGCAGCTGAGGATAACTGAAGCAGGCGGATCTCGTTTCCTGCCTTTCTTAATTTTACCACGTTATTTCGAATTTCAGATTTTCCTTCTAGCGCGTCCCTCTTTTTTCTTCTTCACCTTCTCTCTCTCGCTCTCGTGGGGCCGACACAGTAACCCTTGCTAACGTCCAATGGGCCCAAATCGCGTGTCCGGGCAAAATTAACCCAAACCACGGGTCCAGCTCCGGCGCGAGGAGAATGCTCATTGCTCACTTTCACAGCCTACCCATCACCCCTGAGTTTCTTGACCGAAACTACCCATGCGCAGCAGTTACGACACGAACAAAGCCAGGCCTGGATCACCAGTGCAGCACCAGGAAATGGGGAGCGGGCAGGCACACCGACAGACACACCAACCCCCAGCCCCAAAACCGTTGGGTCTTCTCTTGTTCCTTGGCTCTAGTGTGTATCCGTACGCTACTCATAGGCAATCCGGAGTACGCTACCCGGACGGGGCTCTCGCCCCCATCGCCGAGTAGTTAAATGCTACAAAAATGCAAAGGGCTGGGACGGATCCAACTCAAGCCGCCGACGGCTCGTCCTTCCCCTTCTTTCCCCGGTGAGCTAAGGGTATTGGCAATGTAGGCAAACCCCGCTGGAAAGGCCGAGAGTCCAGAATACCACAGTACCGACCGTAGTGTACGGATACTCTGTACTCTCCGTACAGATACAGGGAAACACAATTCATCCTGGGATGTTGACTCACCGGGTCACCGGGGAACATGGGCGTTTGGATTCTTGGGAAATTGGGCCTTTCGGTCTGCCAACTGCCGGTGGCATGCAACCGATCCTCCCAGCCCGTCAAGGGACCCGGTCTAGCCTCTGCCGTAGGTTGGCTGTTTCGCTGGAACCGGGGCCCATATCGATTCAGAACATCATATCTCCCAAGGGAGATTGTTGTCTCGGTGAGGGTCTCACCGGGGTGGGTTTGTCATTCTCTCTCTTTCTTCTCATCTTTCTACCCTGCGAAACACGGGCCCTGTCTTGCTTGTGGAGGTCAAGGTAACCTTTGCGGTCTCTCGTGCCAAAGTGCGTACGGATACTCCCATACAGCCCAGGACCTCTTTTTTTGAATTTTTCTACATACTAATCTCTATTGATCATTTCGGACGGCGGCGCCCCCAATCTATGGAACATTGCGGCTACCCTTCTAGAATATCCACAGACGCGCCGAGTGGTTGGGACGCTCATCCCTGCAGCATTCCTTTCCCACAAAGAGCCTCAAGCCCTCAAGGACCTGCACTGCGGTGTTACCGACAGTCAGGGACTCAGGGCTCGTCTCGACTCGCCCGTACCGGTCACCCGTGCTTCTTCTTCTCTCCCTCCCGCCTCTCCCCGGCGGCGAGGCTTGCTAGACTCCCCCTCCCTTCTCCCGAGACCCGCGGCCCTCTCCATACCGGTCTGTACTGTGATACCTTTATCTGTACTGCGTACTCCGTATGTACGGAGTACGAGTAACTCTACGGATACACCTGCGATCCCAGCTTTGACCCTGCTTTCCGGGAATGTGACAGCTCACACGCCCACCCTCAAGGAGGACCTTCAGAATTCAGGGTACACATCGCTGCTCTCAGGTCATCAGCTAAACCATCCCGCTGGTACACGATGGGAGAGGGGCCCGGCATCCTAGGTGACGGGGGGTAACGGGAATGCTCATTGCCCAGAGAGAAAAAATGACAGCACCTCCAGGGGAGGGGTTAGGGGGAAGGGGCGTGTCATTCACATGGAGAAAACTTTGAGCCTCAAGTGGGCGTGTCAGAGATGGAGGTCGGTGTGAGTAAGAAGGAGGCGAGAGGGGAAAAAAAGATGACGAGAAAGAGAGAGAAAGGAAAGGATAGGGAAGAAACACAACTCACGTCCGTCTAGCCAACGGCATACCCTCCCTGACTTTAGCCCACTCGTCCAAATCCACATCGACAAAGCCAATGGCCCCCTCGGCGCCCTCCTCGGCCCTGCCATCGGCGTCCACGCCGCCCAGCTCCAGCTTGACCCGGCCCCAGGGATCAACGACCATGCTGTGGCCGTAGCTGCTCCGCTTCGGATTGTGCGCGCCCACCTGCGCCGCGGCGACGACCCAGCTCTGCGTCTCGATGGCGCGGGCCCGGAGGAGGGTCTCCCAGTGCGCCTGGCCCGTCCGGATGGTGAAGGCGGAAGGGTAGAGGAGGATCTGGGCGGGGCCGTGGCCGCCGTTGTTGTCAGGGAGGAAAGGGCTCTTGGGTCCCGGGTGCGTCAGGGCGAGGGCCGGTTCGGGGAAGCGGAGGTCGAAACAGATGAGGCTGCCGGCGCGGCCGACCGGGGTGGGGAATGGGGCCGTGAGGGAGGGGCCGGCTTGGACTGTTGCGCTTTCTCGGAGGGCGCCGTAGTCGAAGAGGTGGAGCTTGTCGTAGGTTGCGGCTTGGAATATGGTGCCGTCTGCGTTGATCCAGAGGCTACGGTTGAGGAGCTTTGGAGTGGTAGTGGTGGCGTCTACGGCTACGGCCGGCTTCTGGGCGTCTGTTGTGGGGACGTGGATGCCGACGTTCACGGCGACGGAGTGGGTCTTTGCTGCTTCCTGGAGGCCGAGGACGAAGGGGGACTGGGACTGCGGTTGGGCTAGGGAGAGGGATTCTTGCGGGCTTGAGGCGATGTAATCTGCGGCTTCGGGGAGGAAGAGGACCTAGGAAGAATACAGTGAGCGGCGCCTGTTGGTGTTGGTGGTGTTGTTGTGGGGGTGGGCAGGAGGCAGACATGAAGCCATTTTTGTGCTTCAGGCTGCATTTGCATTGCAGGTCTCATGTGCAGCAGGATGGGATTGCGGTGAGAGAGAGGAAAGGAACAAGACGAGCGTTTTGATATCGACGCCCCCTTTGTTACGGACAGATGGGACGTACTTTGGCACCACCGACAGCGGCCTTGGCGACGAGCCTCACGCACTGCTCTAGGTTGTGGGACAGAGAGGCCGTGGAACAGATTTGACCGACAGCCTGTTCACGCCGAAAGGAAGAGGGGACCGCATCAGTAAGTCATCTGCAGAGACACGTGGTCTTTTTTGGGGGGGTGTGTTGGGCAGCCATACCGCGATCGCCATATTGTTGAAGATACGGTGAGATGGAACTTTTTGGGGGAGGGATGTGTTTGGATTTGGATGAGATACTTATGCAATGTAGGCGCGGGAACCCTGGGTAGGGGTTGGTCGTGTGGACTGATCTTGGAGAGAGGGAGGGAGAAAGTATGCTGGCCACGTGGCAGAGCAGATGAAGCCGTTCGGATGATTTTCCGTGAGGACTGTAGGGTGTGAAAGGTTGGCGATCTTTCATGCAAGCTACAATAGTTTCTTGGATGGGTTGGACGTCGGACGGGAGTGGGAGAGGAGGCATCATTCGTTGCGTTGGCGGGTGGGCCTGCTACCGCTTACCTTATCTGATGGTGGGATGCAGCGGGGTAAGGTAAGGCAA